TGTGTGTGTGTGTGTGTGTGTGTGTGATATCTTTAGGTTTAATTGCACGTTGCTAAATATGAGAGTAAATCATCCAGCCAGATGTTGAAGGTGGTGTTGACCACATTTACAGACTGACGAGCAGAGCAAGGAAATAAACGTGAATGTGGTGGAGAATGAATTCCCTCAGTGGACCAAAATACTGCTGAAGCACTAATGTCATGGCATCATATTCTTTGTCACAGTAAACAGTGACATTAAGTCATATATCTTACAGTTTTTTCAGTTATTTGCACTTTATATCACTTCTGCAGGGTTTCTGCTGGGTCTTGTTGTCAACGCCCTTCAATCAAAAGCTAATGTTGCAGCACTTAACAAAATCTTTTTTGTTTCCACACCCACATCCATTTATAAGATTTGACCTTGTACGTTTACTTGTTAACTGTAGGTAAGATTCATATGTTTTATGTGTTTCAGTCCCAGGATGAGGGTTTCCTACATCGTCTTTTCAGCCAAAGCAGTTGTAATACTTCCACTGACTGGAGACAGGTGAGGTGCTGAATTTTTAAAACTTCAAACTCCTCCTTTCAGAAACCCCCCCGCACAGATCGTACAGTAATGTGTCTCTTTTCCTTTTTTATTCAAACTGCTCTGTCCCTGTTTTGTGATCTGGCTGCAAAGGTCAGAAATAGACGAGGGTTTGAAGAAGCTGAGCCAAATCAAACCTGCAGGTGAAACGTACATGCACGAGGGCATGAAAGCGGTAGGTACGCTTCATGTAAAGAGGCAGGAACCACATTTATTACTCAGATGTCAATCAAGTGACTGGATTTGCTTTGGTTTTAGAATATAGTTTGTAAAACCTACTCTAAGTTTAAACCCCAAGCTGTTTTTATTGTTATTTATATTCCCGGTGCACTTGCATTCTTTTAGAGCTACTGATGTGTCCCGCTGTTTGTGAGCTGATGGGTTTTTTACAGTTTACTCCTCTGGATATTTTGCCAACTTTCACTCGTCAGGTGTCGGAGCAGATGAAGGCGCGAACGTCACCATCGTCCACCATCATCATCATCCTCACTGATGGCAAGCTGGAGGTTTACCCGTTTGAGCTGAGTGTACAGGAGGTATCTCTCTTTCTCTGCACACACACACACACACACACACAGACAGAAGTGAGGGAGATAAATAGATAACATAGTGACACTGGTTTCCATTTAAGTACAACACATAAAAGGAAAAAGGATGATTAATGAGTGTGTAGTTTGGGAACACTGTGATTCTCAGTGGTTGTTAAAGCAAACACACTGACACATGCACATACTTCTCCATCCACTTGTTTTACCAAGTTACGTCACACTAATAAAAGATTCAGGGGTGGACATGTTGATTTTTGTATCATGTTGCATCAACTGAAACAGACGACATCCATCTCTCTCAACCCTTTATTGTAAATTGTACAGATTTGAATTTACAGCAAATTGCCTACAATAAGCTAAAATACTTGCAGAATGTTATTTATCACTTCTTCTATTTTGATTTCTTTTACTGTTTGTGACCAGCACTAGAACTTCACTCTCGTCTCTTTGTGTGATGCTTCTCAGGCCGACATAGCCCGAGGGTTTGGAGCCAGAGTGTACTGTGTGGGGGTCATGGACTTTGACCACAAACAGGTAGGAGAATGTTTTTACTCTTCTCTCTTTACTCTGTTGGTTTCTGCCATGTAGCTCTGTGAGAAACAGCACATCCCCGTGTTACCGATACTGTTGGCTGTGTAAACACTGCGGTTTTATCTACCTCTCAGTGTGAGCGTTTGTGTCAGCGTGTGTTCGGTTGTGGTCAGAACTTCCACTGTGGGCTGTTGTTTTTGGGCCTGATTTATTTACACGCCTTGACCTCACGGAGCAGCAGGCGGGCGGTAAAGATTTCTTCTTTATGATCTACGCTGCATGAGGTTTATGCAAAAACGAGGAATACAGATGTAAGGGAGCGTGCATTGTGTAAGGAATGACAACACTGAAGGATGAAACCAAATGTGCGTCAGTGGCTTTCTTGCAGGACCAGAACGCAAATGTCATCAAAGAGGTCTTTTGTTGTTTTGAATGAAAGACCCCAAGTGGCCGAAGTTACATATTGTAGATTTAAATTGAACTGAGTTGCTCTAAATGTCACATACTCATAGATATCCTCTGTATATATCTGTATTTTTCTTTTTCATCAAGATCCATGAATCCTGGGTAATCGGTGAATATCTCGCAAAGCCAAAATTTGCAAGATTCTTTCCCATCGCAGTAATTCTGCTGATAAACAAACAAATCAATAGACATGGGTGAAAACACAACCTCCTTGGTTCAGTGTTTGCAGTGTTTGTGATATTTATTCTTCTCCACAGTCATAAATTGTTCTTAATAACATTTTCAGAGAAAATAAAAAGCTGTTATTGCTTGTGCTGAGAAATATAATACTGCAAACCCTGTCCTGGATCATTCACTGCATTTGTGTTGTTTGTTTTGCTGTTGCAGCAGAATCATATCAACTGTACATGACTTTAAAATAAACTCTTGACCTCGGTAGTCGACGTGCAAGTGATCTCCTGTCCTGTTCCTGTCGGAGCGTACTCTGTGGTCTGAGGAGGAAGTAATTACATCACTCTCTAATTAAATAATGCCGGGCAAGCTTCCTGTTCTGCCGTCATTAAAGCAGGAGATGAAAGCTGCAGCCAACTGATCCGAGTTTACATCTCCTACAAACCGAAATGATTCAGAAGCACTGAACCAAAACCAGCAGGAGGATCTTGGGAGTAGATTAACTTGTGCAGTGCTCATTCTAAACCTGCCTGAACAGTCTATGCAGTGCAGAGTGGTTAGAAAACCTCTGTGTTCATCCTATCTGGTTTATCTGCAATGGAGATTTTATAGTCTGTGTTTTAAGTGAAATTAAACTGAATTTGCTTTATAACTGTTCACATTCGTGGCTTTTATATAAGTTTGAACAATTTGCTTTACTGCTGAAATTTCTTATTGTAAATTACATGTCTGCGCTTTTTCCGAGGTCTTTTGAGCAACCGACACAATCTTCAGACCCAAGTTCACAGCTTTTCAAATGAAAAGCTCTCTAATTCAGTTCAATATAAAGCATCACTGCCTCCATGACCACTGAGAATTGTTCGTGAGATAGACGTTTGTGGAATAAGTTACTTAAGTTATTTTTCTATCCAGCTTGCTGAAATAGCAGATAGCACCGAACAAGTCTTCCCGGTTCTGTCTGGATTTCACGCCCTCAAGGACATCGTCAACTCTGTGAGGTCACATCACGCGTAACGTGCACATTATTATTCTTACAAGTGTGAAAACAGACGTGTGACTCCAGCTGTATCTCCACACAGATCCTGAAGCAGACGTGTACAGATGTGTTCACGATAGAGCCATCGAGTGTGTGTGTGAACGGTGAGTTAGTTACAGAGAGAATTCCTCTGGTTTCACGAGGCCTGCTGACGTTGAACTGCTTAACTTACCTTTATTACTTATTCTCAACACTTGCATGGCTGCATTCTTGTAGCCTTAGTTTTCACAATAACCGTATATTCAGTTTAACGCTGCTGATTAATGTTGATTCATGTTGTTCCTGGTGAAATGTAAGAGCAGTGTCATAGTTGTGTGACGTGTCCAATGTTTTCTAGAGTCTTTCAACGTGGTGCTCAGAGGCAGCGGCTTCAGTGGATCCAGGAGGACGGACAAGGTCCTCTGCGTCCTCACCGTCAATCAAAACACGTACAGTGAGTGCACGACACAATCCGCTCATACGCAAGAGTCAGACACAACGTTAAAGCTACTAACTGGTTTCATGCCTGGTGGTGCAGCTTTGGGTCTCACATCATCTGGGAAGTGTATCATAGTTGCAGATGATCTCTGAGCTGCAGTGGAAAGTCAGAGTCACAACATCCAGGGACAAACAGTGGCTGTGTCTTGTCGGAGAACAGAGGAGACATTATGAGGCTGAGCAGGGGGAGGGACATGTTGTCTGTGTGGTTGGTCTATTAATGGATCAATAGAGGGGGGGGAGGGGACAGTGTTACTGGGAGGACATGATGAGATAACATGTGACTGTATCGCATCATATCTTCTTTACTTCTTTATCTTTTCTATCTTTTCTTTATCTTCTCAACACGGCTCTGCTGCTTTGGATCTTGTTTACATTTTAACCTGGTTGTGATATTTGGGTACTAGATACATATAAAGATACATGTTGAACATATTTTGATCATAACGTGTAGTACGTTAAATCAGATGTGGACACATACAGTGTTCGTATTGTTCTGTTTTTAATCATCATTTACTATTGAATTGCTGGTAACGTTTGTATATTTTCATTTTATCATAATATTTCTTGGTGTCTTTCCAATTCTTCTTCGTAGACCAGAAGCCAAATGTTGTTAGAGACGGTTATCTGCTGTGTCCAGCTCCTGTTCTGCAGGAGGTTGGAGAGTAAGTCCACACACACACACACACACACACACACACACACACACACACACACACACAATAATTTGTAGATTTATCAAAGTCTTCAAACCAAAAAAACACGCCCATTTGTGAAAGAAGGTTCAGTTGTGAAACGTAATCAGCATGATATCATTGTATAACATCATTACACTGGTATTTCTCTGACAGCAGCGACTTCACCTAGGCTTTAGAAGAAGGGCGGTTAATGAGCAATGGTGTCACATCAAGAAAAAACTCACTTCAATAATAAATACTTTATTTGTAATGTTAAAGAAAAGCAGGTGAAGCAAGTTTCGATCCATAGTATCAACACTTCTCCGCTCGGCCTGGGGTTGAAATTAGAAAGTGTAAATCTGCTGTGAGAGAGAAACATGTTTACAGTGAAATCTGTTCAGCTTCACGTTTTGGATGAAGTGCAGCCAGTGGGACCAGAATATCTCCGTGGCATTTAGAGCGTGAGCCAAAGCTGATTCAACTTCAAACAGCTCTCTCTCTCTCTCTTTATCAGTCCTCTCTTTCCCTCACCCACTCTCTCACACTCCCTCTGTACTGAAATACTCATGCACAGTTTGAGCTTTTCTCAGAGACGGAGCAGAATCAAATATCATCCGAGTTGAGCCTCGATAGTTAAAAACAAACATTGTAAGTTTAATGGAAAACCAGGAAATGGGTTTAGAATAAGATAAGAGAATGAATAACACTGACTTCCTTTTTTCAATGTGGCGCTAATGGTTCTTAAGGTTAAAAGGGAAGCTGACGAGGTCTCAGGGAATAAAGTGCAACTCAACTTGTTTAACTTCATTAAGAGGCTGAAAATACAAAAGAGGTTGAATAATACTGCACATCTATATTCACTGATTATTTCTGTGATGATTCCAGATCCATTGAAGTGCTGGTTAGTCTGAACAACGGAGAATCTTTCATCTCCAGTCCCATCACCATTTATGCCACAACATGTGTGAGTATCCATCACATATTACTCGATGGAGGTTTGAATGGAGTAAAGAATCAAATATTGAATAAATAGAATATTGAATGAATCCTATGACTTGTGTGGTTGATGTCTGTGTGTGTTTTCTGCAGTCTGATGGGACCTGGGTGTTCTGGTTGCTGTTGGCTCTGTTGTTGTTGCTCGCTCTGGGTTTGCTCTGGTGGTTCTGGCCTCTCTGCTGCACTGTGGTACCTTTACATATATATATTTATATCTGTAGTACTCTGAGTCAGGCCTTGTGGAAACCTACGACCCATAATTCAGTGCTGTTGTTATTTGAGGAAGTAGTTAAAAGTTAGTAGTAAAAATTTTTTTAATAGTGCTTCTTTCAGCTTTGCATTTTTTTCCCCCACTTTTCTTACAGGTGATCAGAGACCCTCCCCCAGATCGTCCCCCTCCTCCACCTCCTGTTATTGTGAGTAGACCAATACCCATTTTAAAAAAAATCTCCTGTATCTGTTGGAAGTTGGAAGTTTTGACTCCATCAACTTGGTCGACATCGAGGTGCATGGAGGATGGGGAAAAAAATCTTGAGTGTAATGTTAAGGTAGAAGAACCCAAATGTAGGAAAAAAAACTTAGGATGGTGACAAAGGTGCAAAAAGACGAGTTGACAAAGACAAAGGGAAACACAGAGACTATAAACTGGAGCGAGGCAGCAGGACCACTGAACTCTGCAGGTGAAACACATTAGGACAGTGAGAGACAATCACATGGGCGGGAGACAGGGCAGAGGCAGGAAGTAAAGCGAGAGAGACACACAAGGAAAGAAGTTTCAAAATAAAACAAGTTTTTTTGTTTGCACTGTGAAGTTAAGCTGATGTAAGAAAAGACACAACATCTGTGTCTGAAAGACAGATAAAGATGTTAATCAAGGGAACGTGCTCCACAACATGTTTCTGTTTAATCCTCTCTCTTTGATTATTTTGTTTCCAAGTAAATAGAACAAATGAAATTATGGGGAAAATAGTTGCCTGTCCAGATTTTTATACCATATGCTTAAAAGGTTCACAACACCCTGGGTTAGTAACTTTTTCTTGTTGAGGCTCACTATGAAGTTATCTTCAATGAACCATTATTGTTTAAGGAGCTGGAAGACGATCCCTCACCCAAACACAAGTGGCCCACAGTGGACGCTTCATACTACGGAGTCCGAGGTCCTGGAGGAATCACACGCATGGAGGTAAAAAAAAATACAGACACAATAATCATATATAAAACCCACACTGGTTATTGAGGAGAAAGAGTCTGTGTTTTATTATCAGACGTGTCTATGACATTTGCGCTCATGTACTTGCTATAGGTGCGTTGGGGACAGATGGGGTCCACAGAGGAGGGGTCCCGGCTAGAAAAAGCCAAAAATGCTGTGGTCACCATGCCTGATGACGTGGAGGAGCCCATCATCCCCCGACCCCCGCCAAGACCTCCTCCAGTGTACAGCCCCCCACCACAGTCCAAGTGGTACACTCCCATCAAGGTGAGACCAGATGTGTATGGATTTCTTCACACTGTACAACTGTAGAAATAAGTGATGTTTTATATCTCTATCTTTATTCTGACATCCTCTTTTTGACTGCCTGCACCTGACTTCACCTTCAGGGGCGATTCGATGCGTTGCTGGCGTTACTGAGAAGACAGTACGACAGAGTGGCAATCATGAGGCCGACACATCAGGACAAGGTAAAAAAAATATCTGCAGATACTTTACGTCAGATGAAGGAAAACTCTGCTGCTCTGAATATGTCCAGCTGAACTGACTGCAGCCACCAAACAGTGACTATATTTTTAAAGTGTCACCTATTAGTTAAATTAGAAAATGGATCCACGATCTCAACAGTGATTCGATTAGATAATACTGTAATATAATCTGAATAATATCCAGTGTGTCCCTTTCTTATATTAATGCTAATTCAGATAAATCAACACATAACATGCATTACCTCTTGTTTGCTTGTTATTTTCTGTCATATTCTGTTAAAATAAGTCATAAATTACATTTCTGGTCACTGACTTTTTTAAATTTGACTGTATTGTTCGTTGTCGTCTGCAGGGTCGCTGCATTAACTTCACCAGAGTTCAGAGTCACTGATGAACAGAACACTTTTCACTTTATTCCCCGTTTTGTTTGAAGATGACCAACGTGTCCAGATGATGATTGTCGGGATGTATATTGTAAATAAACACTTTTACTTTTATTCTGTTGTTGTACGTTAAGAAATCTTTTACCTACCTACTTGGATTTGTGTATCAGTTAAAACCAATTTTTTTTTCAAGTATTTTGTTTATTTGAAAGAAAAAATATAATTCTTTTTTCACAAAGGCCTTCAGTACAAGAACCCTGACCGGGCGATACAGATCATACATGACAAAAAAAACAAGATTGAAAAAAGCATACATGAGAAACACTTATATAAAATATATACAACACATAAAGAGCTTTTTTTTTTTTAAATGTAAAAATATTTGTACTGTAGCATCACTGTCACTCACAGACAGATTTTAAAAACACGCTCACTTGACCACAGATGAGATGAAGTGTAGATTTGAGCTTCTCGTTTGTATTCCAGCTACACACGCACACACACACACACGCACACACACACATCAGTTTCAGACCCGAAACGCTTCTACGCTAAACATGAACTTGTGTTATTAACAAAAATAGCTTAGCGACATAGAGCCAGCCAACCAGCAACAAGCTCAGTGACACTCCAGAGAAAATACGTGAAGAGAAAAACCTTCTGATACAAAATACAACTTAATACTGTAAAGAACGACGCCTTAAAATAGGAGTCACCAAATCCTATAATACAACACACAAGACCACACTGAAGTGCAATTGATTTAAGTTGCATGATTATCATGATGTTGCTGTCACAACTTTGCATCACCGACATGGAGTAAAAGTGCCCACATCACAAAATATTAAAAACAGCAAATCTGGAAATTTGAGCCCGAAAGATAAAAATGAGCCGACGTGAGCTGTATTTGTATTTATGTGAAAATATGAAAACTTTCATTTTACAAATAAAATAAATGCAGGAATGCATTTATGTTTTTACTTTTTCTTTTTTTTTTTTTTTTTTATTTCTTTTTTATTATTTATTGTCTTGCATTATGTGTTCAAATTAGATGGAAATGCTTGAGTTACATGAGAAACAGCCATGAACCTGTGTTGTGTGCTCAATATGCATCAAAATCAAGCACTCGACAAGAAAACAAGCAGCAACAATACTTCAGCGAGCCCGTTGTTTATAATACACATCGATGTCCCGGGGTAGATCTCTCTCCTCTCTGTGGTCTCTGACTGAGCTCCAGCCACTTCCACAGAGAAGCAGTGCTAATGTTGTAGCTGATGGGGTTCAAAGACTCCTGCGGGGCTGTTGATGGAGTTCCACTGAAGATATAAACATCATCTGAGACTGTTTGATGACCTCAGGAGTCACCTGATGTCCTGTAAGTGCCTCACACAGAGCTGATGAGGAGGAGGAGGAGGAGGAGGAGGAGGAGGAGGAGGAAGAAGCAGGGTGGGTGAGCCACATCAGTAATCTGAGCTCTTCTTGGGAATCATTACTCGCAGGACAGATGGTTGTAATAATAACCGCAGCACTGAGGTCCTTTGGCACCAAAAACTGTTCATAACTCATTTATGCTCCTTGAGATCTCAAAGCCCAGATGATCTGTTCATTGATACGATTGTGAGCTCGGCTGCATTTGTTCGTCCTGCACTGTCGTGTCCATAAGATACAGGGAGGAATTTGTAGCTTTAGAATAAAATCCTCGTTATTTACAGTCTGTAGCGCACATCAGATCCTTCTCTTACGACCGGTTCTCGCGATGCAGAAGAGAAGATCTGGAAAATAGAACACAAATAACCAGTGTTACTGTTGATTCACTTATTTAATGCTGTGGTTAAAGAGGTTTGATGGTTTTGATGTGATGCACGTGTCAAAACTCACCTGAGAGACCTGCGACTGTCCTTCTCCATGTTGTTCTCTGGGCCTTCGCTCTCATACGAGGCCAGATGCAGCTCTGCAGTGAAGAAACAAGACAAAGTGAGTTTGAGTTTTTTGGAGGAAAAATGAAACTGTCAGACTTCACCAGACTGACCGAGTTATTTTTTGTACGGGGAGAAGGTTGGACACTGACCGTCTTCACTGAAGACCGGCGTGGTGACCAGGTACTGGAGGATCCGTCGGTCTCTGTCGAAGGGACAAACCACCTGACGCCAAACCAGGAACTCGCTGACCTGCTTCGCCAGCTCCCAAAGTTTCTGTTGAGACACGATGATGAGACTTCATTAATATTCTATCTTATCTTCAATATTAATTGGGAATCTTTCAAACAATTCAGTGACTGACAAGTGATTTGACAAAACGTAGGAGGTAAAAGATGAATTAAAAAATGAGCCAAACATTCAGATTTAGAGACTAACGCAAATCAAAGCAAAAGAAAAGTTAAGCTAATAAAAGATTGAAAAAAGTGGTTAAAGCAACACATAACTTTTTACTAAGTTAAACAACGTCAAATAAATAATGATGATCAACACCAGACTCTTTTAACACTGATGCCAAATTAACAGCAAACATGTTGTTGGCCTGTACAGAGCCATAAAATCCATCAAGGTCCACAAGGGGGCACCACTGCATTACATGTAAAGGCCTCTGCTCATACTAATACTGTGAATGGTCAAGTATTACTGTGTTTATATGAGACTAATACACTGTTTTGTTTCTTCTGTATTTGAACTAGCAATTGATTTAATCAAATAACTAAAACTGTGAGCTGACCTCAAAGTTGATGTGTCCGTTGGTCAGCCGGCTGGCACAGCCTTCGTTCAGGAAGTAGATGTCTTTAATGAGCAGACTAAAGAAAGGAATCACGATCTGGAGGAAAGAGAAAACACTTGTTTTAGATTTATGTTTTTTACGTTTTGGAACATCACGACAATAAACAATCCTGTGTGCTCGCTCACCTTCTCCTGGCTGCTGTGAGCCGTCTCCGACCGCTGGGTGGCGCCGCGGAGCGCAGTGCGGTAGTTACTGAAGTTACTGGACGGGTCCATCTGATGCTGAAAGAGGTCAGACAGAGGAGACGTTCAGCAAACACAAGCACATGGACACAGGCATTGACATGGAACATTTTGAGAAGGATATAAAACCAACATGTTATCGTGCATCTTAGATGTAAACATGCAGGGTTTTTTTTCTCACCTCCAGGATTTCAAATTTGTCCATGTTGACTTTACTCCAGGTTTTCTTCAGCCTGGCAATGGGACTCATGTTCATCCCAGCTGAGAGACGGAGATGAGATGAGTGAGCAAAGTATTTATAGAGACAAACCTGAGAAACTGAGCAGGCTCCAAGCCTTCGGTATCTCTACGCGATTAAACTGCAGCTGGCACTGTATTTATTGGCATCATGCATTTTGCTTTATTGGCTATTCAACAAAGAAGTGATGGGATCTGCAGTTTAACTACACCGGCCTCTATTCAACAACAAGCTGTGACAAACTGGTTTAGTTCCAGGTGATCTGTGAGAGATCCTGCAGGATTTCTACTTCTCCTCTATATACAGTATGTGAGCGGACACAAGTTATTCTGCACTGCATTACCCAGAAGCCACCTGTCAGTGTTGTCTGCTTTTTATTATGTGTTGTTTTTTGTGTACTCACTGATGATGGCCATAAGGGAGTTGAAGTTGCCGATGTTGAAACACTCCTGAGCCACGTCGATGAAGAACTCTATGATCCGCGCTCGGTGTTTCTTCTTCACTGGCTGTGATGAGAGCACATGACAGGAAGTCAATCAAAGCTGCTGTCTAACATGTTGTATATTTTAGCTTCAAAGGGAAATACAAAACTTGAGATACATGAGCAGCTGCAGCATCTTGGAAGAAAGAATATTAGTAGAATAGAATAAAAGTAAAACCAACATCTGGATATGAACAATGTAAAAAATTACAACGTACCATACAGATCTCAGTGGCCACCAGGAAACTCAGTCTGTTGAACCAGTTGACGTAGGCCTCCAGGTTACTGGTTTTACGCTTCCGAAAGAAACCCTGAAAAAAAGACAGAAGACAGAAAAGTGTGAGAACACATGAGGGTCCACGGACTTTATTTGATGTTTTCTCTTTCTTTTTTGTGTATTTGTTAGTTTAAGGAGCAAAACAGCGAGAGAACTGACTAACTGACCCCCATCCGTTAAAAAAGACCATCAGATGTGGTTGAAAGCAACAGAAGGAACCTTGAGTTCTTGTTTTTGGATTTTTGTGAAAACATAATTTTATGGGTTGTAATTGTTGTAACAGTCAAATGTTTTAAAATAAAAATATGAGGGGAAACGTTTGCTGCCACTGTGTAATTTCCTCCACAGATGGATCCTCAACCTCTGGATCTCACACTGGAGTCTGTGACGTGTCAGTGGCTATTTTCATCTCATCTACATCTGCCTCTGGGTCTTCACTCGGTGAACCTATTTGCCTGAGGCACTATTTTTTTTCTTATAAATAAACATAAAAGCTCTGTATAAATAAACTTGACTTGGCCGTGATGATGTAATCCAGGCTCTGTTAAATGCTTACACAACAGCAGCAGCGGCCCACTCCACTCAAACTTCCCTTCTACACTTCAGGACCCCTTACGCTGACTCAACCGCTCTTTCATACAAAAATGGGGCTTACATAACCGGTGCAGCACCGGTGAGAGCCCGAGATGAAACGCAGTCACAAACTCTAGCTGAAAGCCCATTCTCAGCAGCGCTGATTGAAATCAACCCTTAAGCTGACTCACTGGGCCACTTAGGAAGCAAAGTGCCCTTCAGATACACTTAGACGTACGCAGAATGGCTCTTTCATACTGTTTGATGCATTTTCAAAAGATGAATTCAAAAAAGAATAAAAAACACTGAACAAATTCACATTTTATCTGCCAGAAGGATCTTTCATGTGGTTTCTGAGGCAAATTAACTTGAAGTGAAAGAAACTGCAAATGATGCTCGAAGCGGAGCCAAAAATGAAAAGACGATTAATCAAAATAATAAAAACAGACTTAGAAATGCCTACAGACAGTCTCCTTCCTTTGCTGCAGATAATTGTAAACAGGTCACAGATCTAATGTTCCTTAGCTGACTTTACACATGAAACTATATATGTAGCATATATGTGGCGAGCTGTAGCTGTGTGGTTAGATTTATCTGCTAATTCTGACTCCAATTAGTTGATTTAATTTTGACGACATCGTGAAATCAACTTTATAGTTCAGTGCAAAAACCTTTTAGTCAGCAGGGAGAGATTCTAGATGGATGAAAGCAAACAAACAAACGAGAGTCAAGTAAAACGTGTTCGCAGGGTTGTGATTGTGAAAGAGATAAATATTGCTGAGCTGCATCGTCGAGGAAGAAGCTGAGAGAGACGATAATTGGTGTCTGTGCATTCTGCCTCAATTGTACCTTATGGTTCTCTAGAGGATCCTTCATGGCGAACGTCTGGATGAACTCCTCAGGACCGATAAAACTCAGTCTGTCCTGGAGGCAGAGGACGGGAGCAGAAAACAATCAGGACAACACGAACAGTAATATACGAGATAAAGACGAGGACGGAGACGACGAGGGAGGGTGGAGATCAGGAGGGAAGAGACACTAAAAGACATTTATCCTTATTTATGTTAAAATTAACATTGTTATTTCAAGGATGTCAGCTTTCTATATTCATCCGCAAACAAAACATGGTTTATAATGAAAATATCAAAACAGAAATGTAATGTCAACAAACAAGCAGGAAACAGAAGAACTCAGAAACTTTATTGTTTCTTTGAGGCACAAAACTATAAAATGATGCATCAAAGAAACAATAAAGTTACCAAATTTAGTTAAGTCAGTAAAATAAGATTTATTTGCAACCACATGTAAAAACCATTGCTCTGATTAGGACCAGGTTCTCACCAGTTCGATGTGTGTGAGCTGCTGAGCGAGGATGAAGGGGTCGTCGCACACGCTCAGCACGTCGCTCCTCTGACCCGAAGCCTGTTTGCTCTTCAGGGAGGCGGGCCGCTCCAAGGCCACGGCGTTGAGCGCTGCCACGGCCTCCTCGTACTGGCCGAGCGCTGACAGGCGTTTGATCAGCCGCTGGGTCATCTGCTGCATCGCTCGCCAGGAGTACTGAGAGGCACGACACAACATGACTTAACAACACGAATCAGAAGGAAACTGAAAACTTACGCTTAGAGAAAAGAATGTAAGCACTTGGGTTGCATCAGTCAGATTTCCTGATTACAAGACCTAGACACTCTGCAGCCACAGAACGCAAACAAGACAAAAGCTATGTCCCAATTCAGGGGCTGCATCCTTCAGAGGACTCCACGCTTCTGCAGAGTGAGTAATCTGAAATGAGATGGTCTGATCTATGGAGGATTTCCTAATGGACACACTCTTAGCTGATTTGAATGGTTGCGGTTCAGCCACCCACGTAGCTAGCTCGTTAGCTTTCTCAACAGCACACAATGAATCCACCCATTGGATCCTTTATTGCTTAGGAATCTAAGGACACATTTGTCGGCCATGTTTGAAGGGGCTTTCAAAATGGGTAAGCTCCACTGTGACACAATCACATCCGTGACACCAACATCCACAGAGCTACGCTGCGATCATACGTGACACTAACCTCATCGCCTCGGGCCACGTGGTGCGTCATGTCCTTCAGGCAGCGCATCATTCTCTCGTCCCTGAAGTCGTACGGAAACGTCTCTGTCCACTCGGTCAGCAGCTGCACCAGCTTGGGCGCCACCTCACGGAAACGGATCTGAAGGAAGGATCACAACACGGCACGTTAAGGGTCAGTGAAGTTCACTTTAAATCAATTTATAGAATTTATGGATGCAATCTGTCTTGGGACAAACTCTTCTCGACCCCGCTGTCGCTGTTTGTCTGTGTGAGACAAAATGCTGCTATTATTTGTTCATTTGTTTACTTTATTGTTCCCATTAAATGTGTTCCTTCACTTTTATTTCCCCGGTGTCAGTTTGAATCCCATCTGTCCGTCTCTGGACCGGCTTTGCTTATGAAATGGTCGATAAATATTTCCTCCCAGAGAATGGCTGACAGAGGCATGTGTGGGTGAGAGTGTGACATTGTTACAGTGGGTGTGAGTTTATGTGGGTGAGACAGAGTGAATTGCGGAGAAATAATTATAACCGTGTGTGTGAGTAATCCTCCCACCTTGTCCAGCAGGGCGTCTCCGGACCGCTGCTGCTCCACACACAGGTGACAAACCCGCGTCATGAGCTCGTACGGATGCAGGAAGAGGCGTGAACTCAGCAGGAAGGTGAACACATATGATCTCTGATGACAAGGAGACAAAACAACACAGGACGACAAAGGTCAGCGCAGTCAGGATGGCGGACATCTTAGCTCAGACTGATTTACTATGTTTACAAACATTTGGAAAAGGTCACGCACTTCTTAAAAAATGCCGAGAGTATATTTACTCGAACTTACATCGGGGTAGTAGTCCACTGTGGGAACCAGATGCTGAATCAGAGCCTCAAGAGATGCTGAAACCAAACTGTTGTCATGGTAACACATCTCCCCATAGCTAGCGGTGATGCCATGTCCGTAAAGTCTGGCTTTCCCCGCAGGGGCGTTGTTGTTGTTACGGCAGGACTGCTCGCTGCTGCTCCCACTGCCGCTGCCGCTGCTAGTACTTGTGGTGGTGTGGCGGTATGCGCGGCCCGGACAGGAGCTGCTGTGCTGTCGAGGGCTGCGAGGCTGCGGTGGGGAGTACGGGTTCTCGGAAACCGCGTAGTGGCTGCTGTAATGATGCTCCTTTGCCGTCACGGAGGAGACGGAGGAGCTGCGGTAGCAACCGTGAGGCTGCGGGATGTCGTAGGGGTTTTCTGATCCAGAATAGGCGCCGTTGTAGATGTTTTCCTTTGCGGGTTTGGAGGTGGTGCCGTTGCGGTACGGGCTGTGAGGCTGAGGGTGGTTGTTGTTGTTGCTGTATGGCGCACAAGAGCTGAACTTTCCCGCATACGGAGTTGTGGGAGGCATGATGAGCTGCAGAAAAGACACAAGGAGGATGAGGTTAGGTGAAAATCTGAATGTACTCAATTTTATATCATGATACTGAGAAACAATTTATTACAATCATGGAATAGATATTAATCCAAAAAGTGTAAAAGTCAAAGTAAAATCAGTTCCATGAAGCAGTTAAGCACCTTTTCCTCTTTTTTGACACGTGTCTCTAAGTGAAATGTCCTGTTTTCTGGTTAATAATGACACGTCTTCTCTACACTACTTCAATATTCACTGCTGCTGAATGAGCTACTGCTGACTCACCGTGTTTTAGTCAACATCAGAAATCACTCTGCTGCACTTTAACTGTTGTTGATCAAAAATCCTGAGTACAGATGTCTCTGGTAAGACTTTTACTACTGTGTTTGTAGTGCAGTGTGTGTGACTCAGTCCGCTCCGCCCTCATCACGCAAAGCAGGGACTTAAAGATGTCTGCGATAATAACTGCACTTAATCACATAATGTTACCCCTCCTATGTTTACTGTTTTGGCTTTGATCTGTTGCAATATACCTCTGTGAAATTCACTTTCTCCAAAAAAAAAGACAAAAGTAATTCACTGGTGGATTTAGTTTGTCCACCATGTTCTGCTTTATTGCATCTTTTGCCACATTCTTGAAGCAAACTTGTTGGAAACGCCAGCAAGGGAGGAGGAAAAAAAAACAACCAGGCCGACAGATGGATGATCTCAGGACAGCAATGATTCTTTGTCTTAATGGTTAAGATAATTGGATCTGAGGTTGGTAAGCTGATCCCAGAGCCCCACCAAGGCGTGCTTTAACTCTGGAGCCATCGTTATCCTGCTACTGTTGTCTGCTTTGGAACCACATGCCAGTGTAAATCTAGCCACACACACACGCACACAGACACACATGCACATGCCCCACACAGCGACGTATGCACATGCACGTTTCACTGTGCCAAAAACTAAAACCCTGCAGGAATCCAGCAGACTTTTGTTTGTCCATCACAGCACCAACAGAGGAGTGTCTGCCTGAGCCAACATCTTACACACACACACACACACACACACACACACACACAC